CCATCCCACCCTCATCCTCACCCCCACTCAGTCAAAGACATACAAGGACGCCACATTCCACTCATACCCCCGATACACACTCTATACCCCCCAGGTACAGGACATGTACCCACCCTCTAATGGAGGCTGCACACACCCGAACCCAGGAGGTTCTGTACCGCTTATAAACACAGAACGCTGATCAACAACATAAACATTAATAGTGAAAAGAGTGTAGCTTTGCAACCAGTTTGCATTAGTTGAATCTTATATATATCTTTACATCTAAAGATGCATTTAAGATAACTTAAATATTGATGTAATAAAAAAATCCTTAATACTTACCATAATATAAATATGATATAAATTATGCTACCAGTAGTGAGAATGTAATTGAAGATATCTCAAATAGGTATTTTGCCTTGCCAAAATATAATTAAAGATTTCTTAAATAACTAATATAAATGCAACTTCAGATATCTGGAATGCCAAGGCCTGAACATACTCCTTCCGAAGCCTCCCAGATGATACGCGTTCATTTGGTTGTTTGGCGTTCGTTTTCACACACACCTTTCATATCCCCTGAGACACACTGTGCCGAGCTCCTTAGAAACCCCTCCCACTGCAGTGTACGTTACTGCATGGGGTTTCTTCCTGCTGGCGTCTACAGTGTGGAAATATACCCCTCACCTGATGTTATTTGTGCACAAATCTGTTGCGGTTAAAGCTCTGCCACAAACCTCTGACCAATCACACAATAAGTTCTTATGTGGAGGGGGTAAAAAGGTCTGCCGGCGGGTTGTGACAAAAAGGGGCGGCCGAATTGACACCGAGAATAAGTGATGTAATTTTTGGCATGTAACTGTGACAATCCGACAGTCCAGAGGGAGTGTGTGAAGTAGTAAGTGTGGTGAAGTCAAAGAAATGTTAGAAGGGCTTGCCATACAGGTGAGCCTCTGCCTGCTAAATGGGCTCTCAGCAGAATCCGACTTTTACATTAGCAAGGAGGATGTATGAGCGAGCAAACGTCCACGTCTTTTTTTTTCGTCTGTGAGTAGCGATAAGAAGCAGACAAACAAAAAGAAGTATTTTCTCAAACACTTGTTTGTGGAAAACAAAAACACAACTACAGTTAATGGTTGGGTCTGCGCAACGTGCAAACTCTGTGACACAATAATTCAGTTATGCGCGACATAGCTATGCTACAGCGGGGGGGAAGAAGTGAGGAGTTATCATCTGTCTACTTGCTTTAAAATGCTATATTTCATTTATTTTCCTGAATTTTTTTGATTAAATGGCCAAAGCAAAATAAATAGTTTATACATGCCCAGTCAGGCAGGCAGCGGGACACATCCACCTGTTCGAGTATATGTTTTACCTGCCTCGGGCGGTCCTATTTGTCCAACCCTGCAAATTATTAATTAACTATTTACTGTCGTTCAAATGCCACATAGGTTAACATCAGGGTCGTTTTCATAAGTTTGAACTAAAAATACATTCAACTTAACCTTCCTTTGGTACCTTTCTTTACCCTTTTCTCTCCCTCTACTTCGGACTGTCGCCTAGTTTTCTGTAACACTTGAGAGCAGCAGCGCACCGCACGGCAGCCAGCCAGGCAAGGACCGGCGGTGTTGGTTTTTCAAAATAAAGTCAACGTTAACGTTTCATGATATTTAAATACATTTCAAACTCTGATTATGGTAGTATAAGTGCGCAAATATAGGATATTAATAAAAATGATATGCTTTACATTGTTTTAATATATTAAAAAATAAACAAAAAACCCTTATTCTGAAGGTACGGAGAATTTTCTTTTGCCATGGCGGTGCGTCACGATCAATTACATGTAGAGGAAACCCTGGGATAGCAAAGGTTTCTTGAAGAAAATTTGAACTATGTGGATTAAAATCATAATTTAAAAAAGCATTAAAAACAATTGATACATTTCTTCTCCATAGGAAGATAATCATTGGAGAATTTTAAAAAGTAGCAAAAAGCTCATTTTTTAAGCAGGCTTTTTAATGTGACCATTTGAGTTTTAATGTTTGTCTTATCAATGCTTTTTGAATGTGTTGTTATACTCTGTTGTTTGTTATTCTGTTTTGTTGTGAAGCACTTTGTAGCTACTTGACAGTGAAACGTGTTGTACAAATAAAGTGTACTTAATACTGGAGTTTTAAAAAAATTAAGAGTGTATATAAGTTTGTTTAAAATGTGGATCACAGTTTTAGGGTTGTGGGAGCTCAGTTGTCAGTGCCACAGTCTTATTTTTCTTTGGCTTCATGTTTGAGCCAAGGTTGAGACAGGAAGGGCATCCATCCGGTGTAAATCAATAGCCAAATCTTTCATGCGAGTTTATTCATTGTAGCTAATTCTGCAGAAGGGAACAGACCAAAGGAAAAAAAAAATCACATTTTAAATTTAGTTTTGACCTCACTGTTAAAGCCAAAATGTTGCTGTTTTTAAAAAAATAATATCTAGAAATATGTCTCTCCTGCATGAGGACAGTTTTTAAGTATAAATACAGCTTGTGTTCCCAGTTCACTGCCCAAAACATGCTTTTTCTCCTGGAACATATGTTTACCCAGCCTACTGAGTAACTAAGCTGATTTGTTGAGTGCCAGCTGCAGAACAATCTGTGCAAAATAAAGTTGTCTTCTCTTGAAGGGAAAAAGAACGGTCATAAAATACCAATCCCTCTGTTTATTTTAACAATATTTCAACATGAAAGAGAAAACGGAGAGGGTTGCCAGATGTTGGTAGAAACATCATCCTTTAGGTTTTTGTATCTTGTTCGTCGCTTTCCTGCTTTGTGGCCCAAGTCGGACAACTTTATTACCCTTTCAATTTATTTGTGTCGGGTTGCTGTAGCTGGGCTTGCAACGTCTGGTTTATCGTAACCATAAAGAATGTTAGTGACAGAAGAACAATTGGTTCAAATTCAGTCAGACAGAAACAAGGAAGGGGGTGCGTGGAGCTATTATAAAGTTGGGTGTGTAATGGGTCCCCTGCCACACTCCTCGTCATCCCATCAGTCAGGTTTAAGGGCACAGGAGGCCCGGCAGCTCCAGCAAGCCTTCTGGGACCCAGTGTAGCTCAGGTTGAAATGACACATCCTGACATCTTAAATTCAGCAAGATTAAACTCACACCAGGCGAGGAAAAGCCAAATCACTGTTGGGCTGTTTTATGCCCTTTTCCACCTACTTCTCTGCTCTCCTATGTTTCTCTTAAACTGTCCTTGGAGACCAGAGTTTCATTGTTGTATTTTAAGGTCTAAAAAAATCTAAATGATGTTCCTGATTTCATTAAAGTGGAAAATATTTGTAACTGCTATTCCTTTTTTCTCCCRGCAGAGACGAGCTGATGAGCTGAGTATGTACAACAGTCCTAACTCTGACATGAGCAGCATGAGCGGTGAGTCCGTTCCGACCACCCCTGCGTGGGGGAGGGGGGCTGCGTTGAGCCATTTTTGATGGGATATTGACATAGAGGATGTTTAAGTGTAATAGGCTYCCTTCAGAGCTGTTTGGGGTCTGTAGGTTGGCACCCACACATCATCATGTACTGTAACTTGTCAAATTTTAATACCTAAATACTTGAATCAATATCTGYAGAATCTTAAAAGAAAGTAAGTGTTAGAGTAATAAAGTCTATTTAAACCTAAACTTGGAAAGTACAAGTAGTCATATTTGAATTTACAGCKATGGGAAAAACAAAGTTCACCCTCTTTTAGTTCTAGAGTTTTGTTATTCAAGACATTATAAAAAGGAGCTGGTCTTCACAAGGTTCTTGAATTATTAATTCTAACCTCAAGTGAAAAAAAATATTCAACTGATTCCACTATGTGAGTATTTATTGGAACAAAAATGAACCTAAAACTAGGGACGTCATGAAATGGTCACAGGTCCTTTAATTGGTATCYGAGGAGAATAACCCATAAATATCAATGATGTAGAGGGTAAATAATATTAGTCCAACAATAGATCTTTGTGATTAATTCAACTAACACAATTTAATCTGTTTAGGTGTATGGGAAGAAAAAAGTTGTAAGACAGCTTGGAAATAACAACTTTATTATAAACACTGTGAAATGCTTTAAGGTCAAACACAGCTCCATAGACACCACATCTACAGAATTTAACAAGAATTAGATGTTATTTATTAAATGGCATTTGGTTGTCCCAGTAATTAGCTGTAAATTTAAACTGTATTGGGTATAAAGAAAATCAACTGGTATTGAAGTGATGTACAATTTGTTTAGTTACCAGTTTTTTAACAGCCTTTGACAAAGWAGATGGAACATCGACCAGTCTGTAATTGGAGGTAGAAAAGCCTGAAACACCTACATATTGCTAAACTGTTGGAAGCATTCCCTTATGAATAATTGTGGAAATGACACTGATTAGTAATTAACTATGTTTTCTAAGCAGAACTGTCCATACCATGACAAGCTGCAGCTTTTGTAAATGGTCTCRTTCACAAATATCCAAGTTTTTCTTTCGCTGCACAGCTCTGCATCAAAGCTTGTGTAACCTCTGGGACCTGCCTCAGGAAAAAAAAATGTTTTCATTGTGCTTGGAAGCTGTTTATCTTCAGGAACCAGCCTGATTCAGAGATGGACACCCGATTAAAATGAATTATTGTTCAGGCAAGCTGTGAGAGCTTCATAAAAGAAGAAAGATTTGATAACAATAAATCTGAGCCTGGTGGATGCTGTTCTACAAAACCAAATAATTAAACAACACTAGGCAGTGCTCTGCACCTTGTGAGGCTTTTCTCATCAAGTGTATTGGTTTATTAAATCTCCAAAGAATATGTCTGAAAATGAATTCATGTCAGGTGTGATACCTTTTATTTCCTGTCTCCTTTAATACCAAAGAACAAGCCATGGCAGCCTCACTGATACTAATACAGATAACYCAGATAGTTGTGTACAAAACTAGGTTGTTTTCAGAAGAGGGACGTAATAATAAGCAGTCTATATCCATTTTCTACTGAGGTGTTATCATTTTCAACGAAGATCCAAATGTATTCTAAATCACTAATCCAAACAAGTTTAAAAAAAAGAAACGGGACTTCTATTCTGTAGTTGATCTTTTTCTTCCCATACAACAAGCTTTATTAGTTAAAACTGGAGAGTGCAGTTCCAAGCTTTAAATGTCATCTATTACAATTAATTTTAGTTATGTGTGCACTCACCTGTTAAGAAAATAGAGTAAAATTAAGTTTAAATGAAAGTACAAGTCCAAATCAGGAAAAGCATTCCTTAAAGAAATGCTCAAAGCATGAGAGTTTCTGTGATACGTATTACTGTTAAATGCAATCAACTGTTTTACACAGATGTTTAAATTGGTGCTTTTATGTATATTTTAGATGGCGCTTCTAACGGCAGTGACAGTAAGAAGCTAAAGATGGATGAGGCTCCACCATCACGTGTGCTTCACATACGGAAACTGCCCAGTGAGGCCTCAGACGCAGAAGTCATCGCTCTCGGATTACCATTTGGCAAAGTCACTAACATCCTTATTCTCAAAGGAAAGAACCAGGTGAGTGGGTGAAACAGACACAGACTAAATCTATAACACATCATCAAGTCTATATGTAAAACATTGGAGAGGATTCTGATGTTTGAATTTAAACATCTGTTGATGCTCGTATTTTCTAACTCTTGTTGAAATGGCAAATGGTCCACATCTGAGCTTAAGAGTGTTGCTGGATCGAGCGATACCTGGGTTTTCCTCCTGAACCTATTGCCTCTGACCCATTTAACTAGATCTGTTAAAAAAGGACAACTGACATTACCAACTTTTAAAAACTGTTACGGCCAGAGGTCTTTCTTCTATGTTTATACTAAAGCATGGAATGACGTTCCTCAAAACATAAAGTCCATTTCAAAACTACAGCCCTTTATAAAGAATCTTGTCTGCCATCTGCTGGACACTTTGTTGTGCTCATATTTAGACGTCCTATTTTGCAAATGCTGCCTTCCTGAAATTTGGTATGCTTGTTTGTCTTTGTGTCTATGGTGTAAAATGATGTGATTGTGATGCTGTATTTCTGAGTGTTTAAGTGCTGCAGAACAGGAACCTGCTGTAAAACAGCAATTATGCTGAGTCAGGCTTGATTTTTAGTAATCTTATCCTGTTAAATCAATAAATCAAATCAAATCAAATCAAATCAAATCAAATCAAATGTAGAATAGACTGTTGATGGATGGATCTGCAGAAACATTACTGAAGAAACACAGAACTGTAGAGCCTGCATCAGAAGGTAACAAGGACCATAGAGTCTGGATCAGAGAGTAAGGTTGCTTTTTAATTAAAGAATGACATAAGTATTAGAGACCAATGCTAATTTTTGACCTGATTGAGCCCAACTCCAAAAAACTTTTAAAACACAAACTGYTTTTATTTTTTCTGAAAGGACAAGCATTGTGTGCTTTTTGTTGTAAGTTGTCAGGATCAAATTTTCTGCTGATGTCAAGAACATCCAGCCTATTTTTTATCAAGTAGTGATCTGAAACACACACAGACTGGCACAAAAGCTTATTGTTTGCTGCAAAGGGGGTGTGTGTTGGCGATAAAAAAGCATTGACCCTTTAGGTTCCTGTCAGATAAATCTGCGTTGTTTGCGTCACAGTTTTTGTCTGTTTGTCACTGAACTTGACTGATTGACAGCTGCCTCTTCTTAGTATTAAGATGTGGGTTGGTCTTAATATCTGGTGCCATCTTTGTGGTGAACTACCATTTTGTCAGAAGTAGTCGGTAATTCAGGATTCTGCTGCAAAGAATGTGATGTCAGGCCTGTGTACTGATGTCTTGACTTACGTTCTATAAATAAATCACATTTTGACAAAAGGAATGAGYAATAGTCAGTGATGTAAATGTCATTTGTGTGTTCATGGTGGTGTTTTTTTTTCTTTTCCTCCCAGGCTTTCTTGGAGATGGGGACAGAGGAYGCGGCCATCACAATGGTTAACTACTACGCCACAGTTCCTCCTCTCATCCGCAGTGTCCCTGTCTATATCCAGTTCTCCACTCACAAAGAGCTGAAAACTGATGCAAGCATCCAGGTGAGCGGAARGTCACAGCAGGTCTTCAGTTTCATCTGCAGAGGTGCACTGTATTTACAGAAAATCTTTCAGAATGTGTCTTTTACACGTGAGCTTGGTTAGGTCTTGAATAGAGGTGGGAGTCTTTAGGCACATCAAAGGGCTACGATGTGGGCTAGAGTTAGCTTCAAAGGGTAAAACAAAACATCTTTAGGTTTCTTAYCATGGCATTATTTCCAAAACATATTACATTTTTGACAATTTATAAATAATAAAACTGTTCATGTCAGCATCATAACGCACCAATAAATTTATTAAAATCTCCACCCGAGCCATAAACAGGGCTGAAGTTTCCCTGCTTTAAAGAGGCTGTTTGTGCTTCTCTTTGCATAAACCAGGATGTTTTTACAGATTCCAAACTAAGTCAGTGAATTCAGAACATTGACAGCAAMAGTGCATTCTGAAATGTATTTTTATTTACCCATAACCACGTTGAAGCATCACATATCCTTAAGAAACAGTTCCAACAAAACCAAGTGCTGGGCCTCTGAGTTTGGTGTGTGTGTGTGTGAGAGTGTGTTTAACAAACAAGTCAAAGTTGTGTAGTTTAGTAATAAGAGTTTTGCAGGTGTGGAAAATAAGTTTTAATAAGTCTCCCTGCTGGACCAGTACCTAACAAAATTCACTGGCCTAAACACAAAACACAGACATGGATGGTTTGTTCATGGTTTGACCAGAGGMGCTATAATTCTGTCATTCTCAACATGAGATGATCTCCTTTTAAAACTTAGGTATGGAATGTGGCAGGTGATATCACTTTTAGGAATGCTATGCCTTTTGTTCTGATTGTGTCATCATCTAACTTTAACTGTGCTGAACCTATGAAGAATTCACAGTAGGGTTGGGCAAAATCATATCTGCAATTAATCGTCAGAAAAACTGTCAACAATTAATATTTAGCACTTTGCAACTACTGCAGTTAGTGCCATGTCATGACATATTTTTGTGTGCAATGCACTCTCACCTCCAAGTGCACATGAGCCCATGTCATTTAGCTTTGCTGAAGATCTGCTGCCACCCCACATTGTGGAAAAGGTGGYTTTCAACTCTCAGCTTACTACGTTAACCTAAAATGAAGAAGTTCATTCCACTGATGATTTGTACATACAGTTTTAGTACACAGTGACTGATTTAGTCAAAATACATGCAAGTGCAATTGTCATCTTTTAATTGTCATCTTTTAATTGTCATCTTTTAATCGTCATATTAATCGTTATGGGCTAAATACCACAAATAATTAACTTTTTTGTCAATATTGCCCAACATTTACAGAAAACTTTGTAAATATTGTCCAAAAAAGAACAAGAAGAGTTTTCTCCACGATCAGAATCTTCTTCCTTTTGTGTTTTGAGGTGTTAATGTAATTGTTTTTTTTTTTTGCCTCCTACTGACATTGCCTGACCTTTTTTGGTGTCTTTGTTGTTCATATCAATAGATTTTGTTTCAAAGAATAAAATARATGTTAAACTTTTTGTAGTTTAGTCAGGGTTTGTTGCTTGTCATGATGTTTTCGGAGTCCATCACATACAACCAACTGAAYCTTCTGCTCTGAAGCATTTTTAAAAAAGTATATGTTGTGTTAGCATGAATAATGCAATGGATTTGTATGCGATCAATTTCCCATTAATTGCTGCTCTCCAAGCACTGCTGATATACACAGAACTGTTCAGTATGCAGCGTAGCACGCTGTTGATCCAACCATGAATCAGTCTAGCATGAAGTGACACGAGGCGATCAGTGGGACCCTAAACATGCGCTGCAAAGCCAGCAGCAGTCACATCTGATCAAAGTCCTCTCAGGTGCATCAAACATTTTTTTTTGATGCAGTTAGGTATCACTGTATGTCAACTAAAATATGTCAACCCAGCAGCAATGTTGGGGCTGTCCTGCCAGAACTTTTCAGGACCCAGCTGATGTAAGACACCAGAAATTGGAAGTGAAGGTTTTATGTAGAAACCAAGACACTAATCAATCAAAAACTGCTTTGATAGGAGCACTTCTGATTTGATACTTAATCAGAATGTACTGTTGTAAATAGGTTTTATTTCATTACCTGTATAAAAATTCTTACTGACATTAACTTTGATGTTATAAGAAACAACACTAGATTTRCTGTTGAACCAATTTCATTTAAATGTCTCCATAAGATAAAACGTTTGTTCTAACATATCTTTAAAATAAGGTCAGAGGGTGAAAAGAGCAGCTTCAGAAGTGCCCAATAGATGAACAGATTGTATGGATTTTGTTTAAATCAATGATAATGTACTGTTTCAACCTAAAATATTGTCAAACATTAGYGCTGTACAATATTGAAAAAATAATTGGCATTGCAATTTTTTTTAACCCTCTATACAGGAATTTTCAACAGATGATTTGAATAAGACTTGTCTCTTTTGTGCATGCTACAAGTATGATTTTGCCTGTATTTGAGTTATTCTTGTTATCTTATAGGGTTCGGAATCTTTTACTATCTCACGATTTGATTCGATTCAGATTTTTGGGGTCATGATTCAATTCAAAATCGATTTTTCATTCAAAATTCAATGTGAGCCCATTTGTCGTGTTCCTAAAGTGCTTCTTCTTCATTTTGCAAATTTTGCACACAGTGAAGCTCATGTCGAACTCGGACTCATTCAGTAAAAAAACAAAATGAGCCCAAGTCTTTGCCTTCAATGAAGACGTGATCAGTTGAATCTCTTTTTTCCCTCCAGTTTTGTAGATTCCTCTTTGTTTTGGTGCTTTCTGCGCATGCATACAGTATATTCCAGAACTGGCTGCATGTGACYTCAGGATGTCCCAGGTGGTTACAAAATGGAGGTTGACAACCTTTGGATTTTATATATAATAGGGTTGAGCCAAATACTCGTTTCAGACGAGTATTCATTACGAATAAAGCATTTTTGACGAGTACGAGCATGAAATGAATAAAACTTGTCAATATCAGTGCTCGTTCTGAAGGAAGATCCTCATTGGGTAACTGATTGTTTTCACGAGCTGTGATTGGCCAGTTACACACAGAGAGCCCACCCCTCCCTTCACAGACCATCTCTGCTGGAGCGAGCCTGATCAGCTGAGTGAAGCTGACACAGACGCGCGCAGACAGCTGATCTCTCTGTGCTCACGGAGCTGTTCAGCTCGCCTCTGTTTCAGGTTGTACGATGCTTAAAGTTACTTGGTGAACTTGTTTTGTAACAAGCGGGGTTCATTTGACAAGACGGAGCTGAAAACGGCCCGTGTCCCATTGGTCACTTCCTCAAGTTCATCGGGTGTTTTTTTATTTTTATTTATTTATTTTTTAATACTGTCAGCTTTCTGTCAATTTGGCTGGTGGTGATATAAAATCAGTTGGAACGCGGCGCTTTTGAGAAGAATACAGTAAACAAGGCTGACATTTTTCCATTTGTCGTCACTGGATGTTTGCATGAATCACCAAGTTCACACAGATCATTAAAAATAAAGTCTTACAGATCACTTCCACACATATAGCTGAACAGAATAACCTCTCTCCATCTCACACACGCACACACACACACACACACACACACACACACCTTAACATTATCAACATTGTTTAACTTTGTTTGTGGTGAAAAAAGCCAAGAATATTTGGTAGTAAAACTAAATAAATAATTGAAAGACAAAAAAATCTGTTTGATCATAAAATTTAAATAAAAAAAAAAGGAATTTGTATTGAGTATGACAATTCTTGTTCATGCGTACTTCAGTAGTTCATAATTTCCTACCGCATGAGTTGTATTCATTCAAGRACATAAACTATTTACAGAACAAGCTTTTTTTAAACTCAGAACATGATTTCTTTTTACTTTTGTGATTAAAAACATTGATTTGTATCTCATTTTTGAAGCTCTGTAAATAACATTCAAACAAATAATACATGGGAACTTCTGATCAATCCATATCATTTTCAGACTTAAAACAATGTACAGATTTAAGCCCCGCCAACTTCRGGTTAAACCACACCTACYTCCGGTTTAGGCCCCGCCCACTCTGAGTGCAGATACAGATAGTGTTGAACTCGCTCATCCGTAATCGATTTTGGGACATTTTAAATCAATTTTGAACCTTTGTAAATGAGAATCATGATTCTGATGTAAAACGATTTTTTTGGTGCACCCCTATTATCTTATTACTTTTACTGTGCTGGGACCAGGGTACACATTTCCTTCTATCAAGTGCAAACATGAATTGCATTTTATCAATAAACAAACATGTTTCTATTTTAGTTTTCGTTTACATCACGCTTTAAAATTAGCATTCATGCTAACTGTATTTTATCACCTTACCTCCAGTTCTTTGCAAATTGGTTCATCTTCTTCATTGTTGTCAAGATCCTCATCATCTTCCTCCACAGCTCAGAATTCACCGACAACACTTCTCTGAAAAACATTGCCATTATTGTCCCAGAAGTTTCACAATAAATTTAAACCTTTCTTTTAATTATTTTGTAACACAAAGCCACCCACTTCTACCAGTAAAAGCAACCTGTCAAAATAAAAGCCTTAACACGTGACCATTTAGTGTAACGACTACAGGTTTAGCCCCTAGACAACATGTTAATTTAATTTGCCTCCTACATCACAGGACCATCACACAATGCGATGACGATGCTCAAACGATATATTGTGCAGCTCAAACATGGAGCTGACCACCAAACAGACTGCCTGTTTTGTATCCTGCTGTATCCATTATTAAAATGGATCATTATTCTATCTTGTTTCATCTGTTGTTGAAAACAATAGTTGACATGTTAACGTTTGACCCCAGAGGACTCAGGCGGTGCTGCAGGCAGCGTCAGCAATCCAGGCACCCAGCTCCGATGTACAGGAAGTTCTGAATGTAGCTCCAAGTCCTGTGCTGAGGATCATCATTGACAACCTGTTCTACCCTGTAACGCTGGATGTGCTGCAACAGGTCAGTGTCAGTGTGATTTAATAATCTATTATGTCAACGAATCTTCAGCAACTTTAGCTGAACTTTCCCTTTTTTATTTGTTTTTCCATTTGAAGATTTTCTCCAAGTTTGGCACAGTTATGAAGATAATCACATTCACCAAGAACAATCAGTTTCAGGCTCTACTACAGTACAGTGACCCTGCCCATGCACAGCATGCCAAGCTGGTGAGAGGACTTGTTTCTCTCTTCTTTACAAGTCATTTATTTCCTTCCAGGCACCAGATGTATTTTAACATGTTTTTGGGCTCTGCACTACTGCTGTTCAGTATGAACTTCTTCCATTTCCCACCAGGCACTGGATAGTCAGAACATCTACAATTCTTGTTGCACACTGCGCATCGACTTTTCCAAGCTGGTCAACCTGAATGTTAAGTACAACAATGATAAAAGTCGTGACTACACACGTCCTGAGCTGCCAACTGGTGATGGGCAACCCAGCCTGGACCCCATGATGACTGCTGCCCTCGGCAAAGACAGTTCCCTCCTCGGTAAGATCCCAGGTACATCACACTTTTTGTATTCTTTTTTTAATGCTAGTTATGCCAGAACTGAGCAATATGACCAAAAATTACTATTTATCTAAAGGACTTATAAAATTTCAATGTGTAACAGTATAGATAAATAACCTGATTGTTCGGATTATGATGAATATTTGTTTGACCAATTTGTAAATATTGTGCCAATAGTAAATTATGATGTCTACCAAATGGCAGCCATTTGCAGACTTACGCTGTCCAGAAAAGTAGTGATTCTGGGGAACTGCTGTTCGTCAGTCCATGACTGTTTTTACTTTCTGTCAGGAGCCTTAAGTCCTCTGAGTGCCGCAGCAGCTGTAGCTGCTGCTGCAGGAAGGGTGGCCCTCTCTGGACAGCCAGGATCCAGCGGGGTCCTACTAGTAAGCAACCTCAATGAGGAGGTTAGTAACACACACCAGTCGGGTGGCCCATGTAACACTGAATACACTCACCTGCCCATCATTTTGTCCTGTTTTTCTGTTGCTGTTTTTGTCGTCACATCTCCTCCTTTAGTACCATTTTTATCTTGTTTTGTGTCTTTTTATGAAATATTCAGAATGTTTTATCAGACAGATTGAATCGGTTAAATTACTACACTTGATCTTAGCCAAAAGGCAGAGAAGCGATGAATCGGTTAAATTAAACTACAAATATTGAGCTTCAACATTTTTAATTTGGATGTCTCCAGGTCATTTTGGATTTTTTCCAAGTCKGACTTTTGCAGCATTGGTCTGTTCATATTCTCCACCCACATTGTTCCTGTCGTGGCAGCCATACCAATTTAGATTCATTTAGCAATATTTACTTTTAGAGATGGACAATCAGAGCTGTAACCTCAGATGTTTTTTGTCAGAGGAAATCTCCTGAGCAGGTGTAAAAATACCACTTATTCAATTATTATTATTAACTGTTATTTAACCAGGCAAAACCCATGAAGATCACAGATCTCTTTTTTAAGGAAGGCTTGATCCTTAAGACATTCTAAACTTGCAGCCCCAGTGGGTTTAAAACAAACACATTGGGCCTCATGCAAGAACATGTTCATATTCTTATCCTAATTTTCTCTTACTTTTGTTTGTACGAACATGCCGCGTCAGATTCAACAAACTCTTCAATCTTCAGGAAAAGTGTGTAAATGAGCTGCGTAAATTCCACCTGTTCGTATCCAGCTGCTCGTGCACGCGAGAGGAGATTAGCATAATTACCACCCCAAAAACGCCAAATAAGGCTACGCTTCCTGCACCACATACCAGGAAGTGGCCATTCATAGATGACATTGCAGAGTAAAAAGAACTTTACGAGTTCAGAGATTGAAGTTCCGCTGTCAGAGATCCAGAAAAGAAAATCTGTCATTTTTAGCAGCGTCAGCTGTGGAATTAAAGGACTTCCTAAAAGTATAAACAACTTTGTTAAATCATTTTCATTTATTCAGAAGCCACATCGTCGCGCACTGTACCACCCACCCCCGCGCGGTCGCAAGTGGTCTTAGTTACAGTTCTGAAATAAGCATTTTAAAATGTTTTTCAACATGTGTCTGGCACTTTGGAGAAAATCCAGGAGTCCCTGGAGGGATTATGCATCCTCTCTGGCCTGGGAACGTCTCGGAGACCCCCAGGGCGAGCTGGAAAGTGTCCCTGGGGAGAGGGATGTCTGGGTTTCTTTCCTGGACCTGTTGCCTCCGCGACCCAATCACGGATAAGAAGAAGAAGATGGAGATGGGAACTTTGGAGAAAATAGCATAGCTGATGTGCTGCAAATATCTCAACAAAATAAAATTTGAAAAAAAAAAATCTGTCAAGCTAATTATATACTGAAACAAATTAAACTTCAATTAATGCATAATTTAAGTTGGTTTGTAGTTTGAGATCATGTAAATATCGTAGTGTTATACAACAGCATTAATAGCCAATTTATTTTGATTTAAACAATTTATATCGTTGGTCTGCATTATTACATTTAAAATTATAATTTTATTTCAAACACAATAGCCTATTGTCAACATGATCATAGAGTGTGATGTATTTTCAACTCAAAATATCTTCAAACTAACGAAATATAAAGTTATTAGTGAAGAAAACCCATCGGATAACAGCAGACTGACTGCTCATAAAATATACGACAGGTCTGGACCACTCGTGAATTTTGTTCYTATCTGAAAAAAATCTTAGAATACAAGAAAATTGGTGAATGCCACAAATTCTCCTAAATCACTCGTACGCACAACTTGAGAACAAATCTGTTCATARYAACGGTTCTTGCATGAGGCCCAATGTCTCCATTATGAGAAGAAAATTAGTTGGACAAAATTTTGAACATGTTTAAATCTTAAGCGACAGGACTGCGAGCCTCTGTGACTCATGCCAGGAAAGTAAAAACAGAATAACATCAGTTTTAAAAGGAAACCCACTTCAAAATAGCTTTTTTTTTCCCCTTTTTCTTTTTGTGTTTATGTGCACCAGACCTTGCAGCCGTGACGTATTATTTTGATTTAAACATATTGTGCTTTTGTATAAATAGCAGTGGGGAGTTTCAGTTCATGTTCCGCTCACTCCTCTGATGTTCTGTCTCCCCCCTCTCTTGTCAAACTGAATCTAACACAGTTAACTGTCCTCTGTTTTCTCTCTGAACACTTCTCACCTGTCCTCAGCATTTATATGAAGCCATTGTGTTGTGTGTGTCAGTCCAGGGAACAAACACACTCCTGTTCTCTTCTAAGAAGCATCTGATTTATCTCAGCTAATCTCTTCTCTCTTTCTGCTCTCTGACTATGGCTCAATGTGTCATGCTGGAGCCTTTTGACAGTATCAAACATGTTCAGATACTGTCTCTTAGCCATCTTTAAGAGTTCTGTGTGACTTGTGTGAAGGCCATGTTACCTTCACATCAACTCTTGCATGTTCTGCTTCAACAATTATTTGATCTGCATGATTTTGTAACTACAGTGCATTGAAGACGTCTTCATATCTCTAACTTTTCCACATTTTGATATGTTACAATGTGTTAAATTTGTATCTATTCTTTACAAATGAGCTCAGTCAGATTTTCTAGAGTGTGAACAGCAGTTTTTATGTTTTAACACAAATTCTCAATTGGATTTAAGTTTGGCTTTTGTCTGGGTTGTTCTAACGTCTGAGTATGCTTTGATGGAGCTCATTTTATTGTAGCTRTGTCTGGATGTTTTGGGTCGTTTTTCTGCCTGAATGTGAACCACCCAGTCCCAAGTCTTTTGGAACCTCTAACGGGTTCTCTTCCAGTATTACTGTATTTTACATCATTCATCATTTCATCAGCCTTTCTGTCCCCACTAAAGAAAAGCACCCCCACAGCATGATGCTGCCACCACCATATTTGACAGTGGGGATGGTGTTTTCAGGGGGATGTGCTGCTGTAGTTTTCCACAACCCACCGTTTAGCATTTAGACCAAAAGTTTGATTCTGGTCTGATTTGAACAGAAGAGCTTCTTCCACATGTTTTCTGTGTCCTCAACATAGCTTCTGGGAGACTGCAAAAAGGACCTCTTTTTTTATTTTTTCTTGTCTCTCTTCCATATAAGTTAGATTTGTGGAGTGGACAAATAATAGTTGTCCTGTTGACAGACTGTCCCACCTGAGCTGTGAGTCTGTGCAGGRCCTCCAGAGTTGAGTTTCTCACTGAGCTGTGACTCTAGGGATACAAGCTTGGGACTAAAAGTTGTAAGAAAATACATAAATCTTTTATTGCAGTCTCACTGAACTCTTGGGTGTTTGTGATCAGCTGTGTGGAAGCATTTCAAGTGCCCAGTTTATTAAAGGGAAAAAATAATCTCAACCTTTTCTTGTGTGCCCAGCTTGCAAAACTGCATTTGTGGCTGTGCATATTATTTTGTTAACCATCTCACCCTAGAGCATCCTATCATGACTGCAGACAGTAGTGTTTACTCTTTGGTTCATGTCAGTATGAACTAAACACATCAGTTAAAGAGTGCATGATGAAGATGAAAAAGCATATACAAGTCATGCCTGACTGTAAGTCACAGGACCAGCCAAACTATGAAAATCGTAACGTATAATCTGGAAAATATGGTAATCAATAACGTTCAGTATCAAACCTCTGAGGCCTTCACAGAACAGCTGCATTCATACTGAGATTGAAATACACACATCTGTGCTTTATGTTACTAATTGGGTGACTTCTGAAAGCAGTTGGTTCTGGATGTTAGAGGTACCAGAGTAAAGGGCTTGGATGACAGATTTTAATTTGTTAAAAGATAATGTTGAACACCATGTTTTATTATTGTTCTACTTCACAATTATGCTTCTTTGTGTTGGTCTGTCATATAAAAATCCAGGTTAAATATTTCTTAAGGTTTGTGATTGTAATGTGACAAATGTGGAAAATCTAAGAGGTACTGTATGAAAACTTTCAATGTTCTGTAATTTCTCCCTCTCAACTTGTGTCAGTGTTTGGCACCATGATTGTGGATTTCCAGATTGCTGAGCATGTTGTTTTGATCCCATAATTCTGACTTTATATTGCTGATTTTATTATGATTTTGTACCTTTACTCCATGCTTGTCCAGGGTGACAGATCTGTTGGCAGTTTTTCAAGATTTCAACTAAAGAACACCTTGATCCGAACCATTATCTTTTGACCAAACTACCTGCATTATTCAACTGTACTGACCTATATTTTATTTTTGTCCCTCCCCCTTCCTCACTTTTTTTTTATTTGCACTGATTCCCCATTAAACTATTTTTCTCTCCCCATCCTCATCCAATTTTTTTTCTCTATCTACCCTGCCTTCCTCCAACCCACGTGCTGATTGGTTGGGGGTGGGAAACGGGCTCAAATTTTGAACTTTTCATCACCTCTTCTACATTACCCAACTTGCTRCACCTCCTGCCGCCCCTCTCTTCCTCCATGACCCACCACTTCCATCACTCTCCGGGGGGGAATCCACCATCCCTCCTACCTACCTTCGCTCTGGATCGATCTGTCCATCTCTACCTCCGCTCCGCTCCGACTCCTCTACCTCTCTACCTGTCTCACGCTGCTTGTTGCTCTTCTCTCCCTCTAAAGATGGTTACGCCCCAAAGTCTGTTTACCCTCTTCGGTATGTTATCGTTAGCTCTCTCTATCTCTCTCTTTCTCTTTTTCTACCTGTTTGTTTTCATTCTAAATTATTATTATTATTATTATTATTATTATTATTATTATTATTATAGGCTTGTGTTAGTTTATTTTTGACCCTTTGTTTATTGGTTTGGGTTATTGTTTTGTTTTTTGTTTTTTTTTTGTAGTCATGTGTTAATGCCCAGTTAAACTTTTGATTTTTGCATGATTTTCTTTAGTCATCACACACAGCCTGATAAGTGATCTGGTTAGAGGGGGGCTCTTCTCTCTTTTTCCTCTTCTGTCTTCACTCTTCTTCCTCTGAACTCTTCCTTTATGTAAACCTGTTGCTCTCTCCTCTGTTTTCTTAGCTGTAAAATGTCTTTTATTTTTCTCCTGCGCTAACTGTAGATATTCTAACTATCTGCTTTCTCTCCACCTCACATTTTGTCCTCCTGCCCGCCTCTGGCTGTGATGCAGGAGTATACGGTGATGTCCAGAGGGTGAAAATTCTTTACAATAAGAAGGACAGCGCTCTCATCCAGATGTCAGATTCTAATCAGGCCCAACTAGGTGAGTAAGTTCACCAGCAAGTCTGTAGGTGCTTTTAAAGGCTCTCCTGTGTTTGTCTGTCTTTCCTGTCCTCTCAGTCCTCAGCCAGTCGAGGCAGATGGCTTAGTGACGTGTAAGTTTGAACAAAAACTAGGTATTGTCTTCGACTACTTGATCTGAGGAGGAGGGTCTTCACAAAACTCGGTACTGCGATGTTTTAAAAAATGTCAAAAAATCTATCATTGCATGATAATGGGGGGAAATGTTTTCCTTTTTTATTTTTGTATTTAAAAAAACTTCCTGTAAAAATTTTATCAATGTAAAATAATATTAAAATTTGTATTTTTTTAAACTAAAGGTCCTTAACTAAACACTTGAATTTGTAAAAATAATAATAAATAAATAAATAAATAAAGAAACTTTTTTTAAATAAAATTTTATTTTCTTAATTTTGAGATTTTTATTTTAGGRTTCAATTTAAAAGACGATAGTTTGTTGTGGAAAAAATAGTGTGTTTTAAGCAGTTGCATAAGGAGGTCCATTTAATTCACTTATTTATTTTTGTTTCTTTCCCCTAAGGAGCATGAATAGTCATAGAGTTAAAGGACAATACAGGGTTAACGTCTTTACTGCTGCCCAACCCTGATGGCATATGTCTATGCTACAGTGTGGTTCAGGTTTGACTGTGTTGACTCTGACAACAGGAAGATCGTAACCAGCCARGGTTTGGCCAGACTTTCTGCAGTAGATGCAGAACATTTTCCTACACCGAAGCCACAGATGCTGGGCCAACATGTTTTTCAAAGATGCAAATCTTTTTGAGCTTTTCATGTTCTGAAGCTTTGACGCTGCCTCAGGTTGTCAGCCAGGGTTAGAGGACATGGTTTAATAGCTTTCTCTGGTTTGTGCAGGAGCTCTTYGCTAAAATCAAGCTTTTATGCAACAGACACTACAGCATTTAAAATGATGAAAAAGGAATCCTCAACTATATTTTTTATATTTATTACTGACTTATTGGTGGTTTGAATGCGTTTCATCTTTGTTGCCCTTGAATAATAATGTAAGGGATACTTTGAAGGAAAACACAGATAAACATGCAAACGTGAATATTGAAGTCACAAAATAACATGAAATTCTTTTCATTCTGAACACGATTTTACTATTTCAATATTTTATTGACTTTGATTTCAACCCATATTTACATATTTACATTTTTCAACAGTTTGAGCTTTAAAATGGAAAGCTAAAGTGTTATCTAAAAAAACCTTCACTTTTATAAGTAGAGTAAAATGTTTGGATTTAATTAAGCTTATCAAGGTTTATTATAGAAACCGAGATGTAGTGTCCTTCACTGAGTTTTACTCTGAACTTTGTATGGTTTTAATGATCTAACTGGGAGTAAAATATATCCCTTGCATCCTTTTACTAATCWATTTATTTTATTTTATTTTTTAAAACTTTGTTTCTTTAAAACAAATACATTCTATGTACAAATATATAAAAAAAAAATACAATGAAATGAAAGGAAGCAGAGAGAAGAAAAAAATCTTAATTTAGTGACACAGAGCCAGTTTATTTTATTTTATTATTTTTTTTTTTTTACTAATCTGTTCTGGCCACAGCAATGAGCCACCTGAACGGACAGAAGATGAATGGGAAAATAATAAGGGTGACGCTGTCCAAGCATCAGACAGTGGCTCTGCCTCGAGACGGGCTGGATYACCAAGGTCTGACCAAGGATTATTCCAACTCCCCACTTCATCGCTTCAAGAAACCTGGATCCAAGAACTTTCAGAACATCTTTCCACCTTCGGCCACTCTTCATCTGTCCAACATCCCGTAAGTCCTGGTCAACAGGAAGTGATGCTCTGTGTTCTCATATTATTCTCAGATATTTCATTGGTTACTTTAGACTTTAGACTCATGGGTTCTGATTCAGCATGAGGACTCCCAGGTGACCAACTCTAAGCTGAGTTGGTTTGGCCATCTGATTAGGATGTCTATGAACACAGTAAATCTTAATTAATGTGGTGAACTGACCCCTCTTCTCACTTCTCCTTCTGTCCAACAGGCAGAATGCGACGGAGGAAGACCTGCAGCTGCTCTTCTCCAACACCGGGGCCACAGTGAAAGCATTCAAGTTTTTCCAGTATGTAGACCTATCTTTCACTCAGTGTAAATTATGTTTTTAATGCTGAGTCAGCATTCACAATGTCGCGTCCCCGTTTATAGATTCATTTGTATGTTTTTTGCAATCGAACAATTTCAGTATACTGTACTATATTACTATACATATTTCAACCATGCAAGTATCAAACAGTTCAAATCGTTCAGGACATTACTGTTATGACTTRAGTTGTTTATATGTTTTACTCGCAGAAAAGCATAAAAATCTCTTGAAATCAAACAAAATTTTAATCAGGTTTGTTTAATTTTTAGGGTTTAGTTTTGTTTGCTATTTTAGTTGCTGTTCTGCTCGCTGGTTTTAGCTTTTAACTTCTGTTCTGATAATATCAGCTTTTAGCTACTGTTTAGCTAATTTTAGCTACTGTTGTACTGGTTTTAGCTTTTTGCTGATGTTTAGTTTATTTTAGTCTTTAGCATTTGCTTTGCTAGCTTTAGCTTTATCTCTGATTGTTTTAACCACTTGATTTCAGATTCTTCAACAAATTTTCAGTTAAGTTCTTCAGTTTTCATGCTGTATTTTAACAGTAAATGATTTTTTTATTACCCTTCTATATATATTCTAAGTATATGGAACCACTGTCTCATCTCTTCTAGGGACCGTAAAATGGCTCTGATCCAGATGTCAACAGTGGAGGAGGCCATCCAGGCTCTGATTGACCTTCATAACTACAACATGGGAGGAAACCAGCARCTGAGGGTTTCCTTCTCCAAGTCCACCATTTAAAACTGGAACCAACAGACTCTAAGCTGGGGGGGACCACATACATGAATTCTGTTTTCTATGAGTTTGGTGCTCTGTCATTCCTTCAGAGACAATAAAACCTTTGATTTGCTTTTTTTTTAAAAGAGAATATTTCTGAATGTTTCCATGTTTTAAATGTACCTCCATATTTGTATGTTGAGCAGAATGTTGACACGATTGATTGTCCCCCTTGCATTCAATATATTGTTTCATTAATTTAGTTCAAGAAAAACTTATGTGCCTTACTTGTTGGTCAACAGTTTTCACAGCTGGACYTGCTCAGTCATGGAGCTGCAGATAAAATATTTGTAACGGAAGTTGTTTGGAGTTAAGAGAAAACTTTGTTTGACTTGATTCTGGTTTCTGAAGGTCTTTAGTTGAGCAGAATATTCCTGAGTTAACATATTTGAGATGTTAAAACAGCCAGTGACGGATAGGTTGGAAGGATAGTTCATCCATATTAAAGGTTTCTGAGTATAAATCATAAATATCTTACCTGTTGTGGATTTACTTTTTGAATGAGTCATCAGTCCCAGAAACTTTAAAGATTGATGAGTTGTGTTTTGTTGATCTAGAAATCAGATCTGACAGGAAATCCTTAATATTTTGYCCAAAATAACTGGATTGCTAACTGACAGTTCTGTAAAGGTTTTGTCCAAATTGAACTATTCAAAAAGCTATCGACAACAGTTAAGATATAACTTTTACTCAGAAGTTTACTTTAAAATGGCTGAACTATTCTTTATCTTGAACCTTTTTTTTTTTTTTTACAGAGAGGCTTATTTTAAAGTTCTACTCACAAACTTATTTTTCCAATCTGAGCTTTCAGAACCTGATTTTTCTTTTTGAATATTTGAAGTGTTTTTCATAGCTGTAAGGTGCGGTCTGTTTTTTAGGAATGCTGTGATGGGATGTCTCAAAATATTGCATGCTGTGGAAGAAGTTTKAGTGTCCCACTGTGATTTTATTGTCCTGTGGCTGTTTACACAGGAGGGCTACTCAGTTGGACCAAAGTTTTTGTGCCTTTAGTGACTCTGGAATTTATTTAAATTTTGAGGGAAAGATCAAGAAAACCTTTTTTTAAAAAACTTTATAGCCAAACTTTGAGTAAACAGGCTTGGGATTTTTACAAGATACTACTTGTGTTTTTTAAGATCTAAAAGAACACTTTGTAAGAAACTGGTATTTATTTATTTTTTCRTGCAGCTCAAGATTGTATATTTGTTCCGGTGGGCATCATTGGGTTCTTTCCAAACACATAGCAGTGAAACATGGTTTCCTGCTTTTGACTTTCCCTTCTAATACTGTCTCGTGTACTTTTGTGTTAGTTCTGTAGCATGCTAAATAAAATCCTACTGTAGCTCTGCAGTTACATTGTCTCACTCTCCTCTCTGTTTTGTTGGCCTCACTCACTTCTCAAACTGCAACAGGGTGGGGCAGAAACCACATGTTTTTTAGATCTAATAAAAAAACAGGTTGTAATGGMCCAGAGTCGTGTGATGGTAGTAACTCAGGACAAGTATGATTCCCACCCTGCCAACTGACATCTACTCTAATCTATTTGCCACAGTGGYCTGTAGAGTTCAGCAGCTGTTCCACCAACAAAACAACTGGATGCTCTCTTATGACAATGTTTGCAGTTCAGTCCAGTTCCCTTATTTACTGGTATGTTTGTGGGTAAGAAGATATTTAATGTTCAAATGAATCTTTATTAGTTTTTTGCAAATATTCACTTATTTTGAATTTGGTTGCAAAAAGCTGGGACACGGCATGTTTACCTCTGTGGTACAACACTCAAGCATTTGGAAGCAGAACACTTATGGATGAAGCTTTGTAGGTGGAATTCTTTTCCATTCTCGCTTCATGTACAACATTCATGTATTTTCCAGGCACACAGTTAAATTCTATACCACAATCAATCAACTGACCCCAAAACATGTACAATAGGTTGTCTTCAGGCCCAGGCCTCCCTTGAAAAAGATCTGAGATCTCAATGGGACTTGCCTGGTAAAATAATGGTAAATAATAATAATCAATTGTTACCTTCAGCTGTTATGAAAGGGAGCAGCTTTGATGTAAAGCAACATTCTGGGTACGTTTTGATGAGGGAATGACATTATAACATGATATAAAGCTCAAAGTTGATTTTGCAAATAACTATAAATAGCATGTGTTGTGTATTCAATAATAAAAGTATTTTCAAATCCTCATTCTGCTTTATGTCCCACCTTCACTGTAATTGGGTTTCATAAAACACTAAAAACAAAACTGAATGTGACTTCAAAGTCAAGAAGTTTTAAGGCCTTGTCTAAATAGAACATTTTCGACAACTTATGAAACTTATGACTACACTGGAAAGCCAAAAAATTAAAAAAATGGCCACCTGTATTTAACTAAGGTCCCATCAGTGTATGAATGTGATTGGCACTGATTAGTCTCCATAGTCGTATGGATACAGTATGTTAGCTTTGTAGGAGATCTGGTAGAGTGCTGTATGAATGAGGACACAGATTGTAGTGTGAAGCGCTTTGAGTATCCTGGTTTGGTAGAAAGGCGAGTCTATTTACCATTTTACTATAGGATGTGTGTGGGGTTGCTGCAGTTGGTCGGGTTCAGCAACAGTTTGTGCTCAAAGAATGAGGTCAGCTGACTACCTGAATATACTGAATGACCAGGTTATTTCATCAATGGAGTTTTTCTTCCCTGATGGCACGGGCATATTCCAAGATGACAATGCCAGGATTCGTCAGGCTCGAATTGAAAAAGAGTATGACATCATTTTCACACAAGGATTGGCTCCACAGAGTCCATTGAGAATCTTTGGGATGTGCTGGAGAAGGCTTTGCACAGCGGTCAGACTCTACCATCATCAGTGCAAGATCTCGGTGAAAAATTACTGCAGCACCAGATGGAAATAAATCTTGTGACATCACAGACGCTTATCAAACAATCCCACAGAGAATGTGTGCCATAATCAAAGCTGAAGGTGGTCCAAATAAATATTAGAGTTTGTGACTTTTTTTTCTGGTGACTTTTTATTATTTATTTGGTTAAGCAGTGTATTTGATCTAGTAATCAGCATTATACTTATATGTCCAAAGGAGGCTTCCTGTAGAATTTTTACACAATTTTCAGTGTTGGAAAAAAACTTTCAGAAGTTGTCTAAAATGTTATACTGTGACAGGGCCTTTACAGTTTTCCCACACTGACTGTTTGAGGTATATTTTTAGTTTTACTGTCTGCCTCTTACTACCTTGGCAGTCAGGGAGTGTCACACATAGGTGTATGGTTGTCCTGGTGACAGTGACGAGTCATTGTCAGCCACTTTTGATCATGGTTCTCTGTACAGTTCATACAATAAAATGTAGTTTTTTTTTTTCTGAGCTTAAGATAATTTACCTACAAAGTTATGCTGGAATTTTGGGCAGAAGCTGCAACATTTCTTCAGGAATCTTTTAGTCATAGTAAACCATTGCGTCTTAAATTGGATCTAAGTCCCAAAAGTAACTGACTCGAAATGATCAAGATGCTGTGTTGGTTCAAGTAAGTGTTGATCCAGTAGTAGCTGGGCCACAAGCTTGACTCTGTTATGATGGACGTTCTGTCTGAGGAAGATGAGTCTCCACAGTTGTGCCCTGGGGCCAGGCAGATTACCTGATCCATCATTATGCACACACGGTGGCATACAACCAGTACAAGGGGCTTTTACTTTGCAGGCTTTCAGCGGTAGTGTTGGTGTCCTTGATCCCCCTCTGCAAACAAAGATGACATGATGTATCAAAGCAAAGCGACAAAGCCAATCAATACCTCATCTGGGCTATGCATCACAAGGGTCAGATGCTGTGATCCCGCTCTCCATCACTCTGCTCAGAGACGATGGGACAAAAGATTCTCTCGCACATTTAACTCCCTCGTGGCTTTTTACACTTCATCACTGCTGAAATATTAGTGCTTTAGGTAATCCCTTGCTTGTGTTCACATMCACCACTAAATGCTACGTTTAGAGTGAAGACTCTGAGTGTAGAAGCCCACATGTACATGTTCAGAAGGCGTGGAGCAGAATTCAGTTGGGCTGAAGCAAAGAGCAATGCATGTATCAATCTTAAAACAAACTGAATTAACTTTATCAATCAACTTTTTTGTGTTAACACATATTATTTATATATAATGTAAACCGGTAACTACAAAGTCGCATTATTTTCAATATCCCCTCTGTAATAAATCTTTTTTTAGGTTTAATCCTGCAAGCGGGGTGGTCGTTCACTGTCATCAGTTCATTATTGTCACTGAGCCACAAGCAGCTGGTTTTACTTTACACCCCACTGCCTAGCTCCGACACTACTTGCACTGTTTGAGGCAGACTGTCTTCGACCCTCCTTTGTGCTCCGTGTGTCCTCTGAATGACAGAACACGGGCCAGTCCTGCACTGAGCTGAAAGAAAATGTTGTTAAGCGTGTTCGTTTAGCAGTTTATGTGCTTGACACACACTGAGAATGGACCAATGCATGGACTGTGAATGTCATACAATCAACCACATGAAGAGCACTCTGGCTGAAGACAGTTCATTCAGTCTGCATTCAGCCCCGTTTACAGGACGTCAGTACCGTTTAACATGGGCACCTGGGACATGACTCCGCCTATTTTATTACATCATCACCAGGAGGGGAGTCCCTAAATCCAGCTGAAATCATGTCCCCAGATGAATTATATTCTAACCCAGGGGTCTGCAACTGCGGCTCTGGGGCCACATGTGGCTCTTTGGTCTCTCTGCAGTGGCTCTTTAAAAGTGTGGCCAAACATAACAGAATATTTTTTTTCTTATACCCACAGCAGAAATCAATTTGTTTACAAATATATGATCAATACTAATACAGAAAGTGAAACATGTTAGCTCATGCTAGCCTGTTGTTTACTTAAATAATCCAGCTTCTTTCTATGATCTTTCTCTCAAATCATCAGAGTTACCTTTAAATAATTTGAAGACTACATAAAAATAAGAATTAGAAAAAAACATGTCTGAATAGTTCAATTGTACTAGTTTTTTATGAAATTTGGTATTAACTATATACAGTATTTTTCTTGTTTACATGGATACAGTCTTTATTTGTCCTGATGTGTATAATATTAAATAAAAATAATAATAATAATTTTTTTTAGTTCTACAATGTCACCTCCTATGACCGTAAAGGTTCCTGAAACGGCCTTGAAAAGGCCCACAGACCACCAGTTGATAATCACAGTTGTAGCTTGATTTGCGGTTCTAAACACATTTTATTAGTGAGACAAGGAGCACAAATGGCTCTTGATCGTAAAGGTTGCAGAACCCTGTTCTAACCTAATGAAGATTAACTGTTCAGTTATGTGTTGAATCAGTGTTCAGGCATGTATCTACATAAAATCATCAATTTAAGCAACATAAACACATTTAACAGATATTGCAGTTTCCCTAATAATAATAATAATAATAATACTATACCATGTGTAATGTAATTAAGATCAGTATATAAACTAACCCCAATACATTTCTTCAGAGCTGCCTGTGAAAGAGGCTCAAGCTAACATGTCAAATTAGCTGTCACATTCCCTCGTCTTAACCAACACCCCCARTGAACCTCCTCTGCTCACCCCTGCACTTGGTGTGCCCCTCAGTGTCTCTTGGCACCGCCCACTTTGTTGGAATTTTTCTAAATTTGCCCAGGGGCGGGGCTATGCCTTCACAGGAGGTGATTGGGTGGGTGGGGGTCTTAGTTACACTTTAATTTTAAAAACACCCAGGTTCACCGAGGGACTTGTGGTTTGGAGTTTCAAATTAGGATTTTGTAGGCCCTACATTAATTCTAAAAATGAGAAATCTGCACCTCTAACTTTGCTGCCAAACAGCGTCTCTCTGAGTTGAAACAGTTTGACCACATGTAAAGCAAAATGTGTTTATGTAAATTACGGCATAAAAGTGTCCAATTCTTAACAAAAAGCTCTTTGTTAGACGAAGTTAGCGTGAAGTATTAATTGTCTCCTGAGAGATAGCAATAATAGCATCGAGGAAAAACAAACCCAAGATACAAATGAAAATCTAGGAGTCATTTCTTTCTTATTTTGTTTTAATTGTAAATGAAAGAAAACACAAATGATCACCTATTGGTTTAGAAATAGCATCCTGACTGGAATTTCTGTGTTTCAATCATCAAGATCTGCATTTCACTGTGAGAAAACATTTTTCGTATTTCTTCCTGTCTTTTGTAGCTGATGTGTTTATGACAATTATTCATATTTAGATTATGCACTGAGAGCAACAGCATATAATCAGCAGTGTCTGTGAACCCACTGTAGAGAAGGAGCAATAAGCAGGGGCAAACGATGTACATAAAGTGAATT